ATATATAAAATTATGCTTTGGGATTACATATAAATAGGTATCGAAAAAAAGTGATACCCCAAGGTATAATTATTACAAAAAGATATATAATATATAAAATTATGCTTTGGAGTATCAACAGATATGTTAACAATTCAGTACTACATGCCTCATTATTGGATGCTTTGGTGTATTATCAAATACGATAACGATTCAGCACTATGTGCCTCATTATCAGATGCTTTGGTGTATTACCTGATATGTTAACAATTCGGCACTACGTGCCTCATTCTCGATCAATATTTGAGACTTTTGGATGCTTTTACGTATCACCAAATAGGAATAACTACGTGCCTCATCCTTGATCGATACTCGAGTGCATTATAATAGTTAGTAATTCAGCACTACGTGCCTCATACTCAATCGATATTCGAATGCATCATACAAAGCCAGAATATGAATACTATTTCAGCACTACATGCCTCAAACTTGGTTCTCATCGAGGAATTAACCAGAAAGCTAAGGCACTACGTGCCAGGTTCAGGCATAGCCCTCACATCGGGCCTGCAAATGACGACACGTGACTGAATGCATCGTTAGCATATTTTTTTGCCTATGTGAGCCAATGACAGCATACATTATATCACATGTAGCCTGATAAATAAAATGCACCACCTTGGTACGTGTTATAAAAAGCAGAATATGCGTCACTTGAGTGTGTAAAAATGTGTCATAAAAATTATATCATGACACTGATGACAGTGTCGCATTTCTGTCATCAAAAATGTGTTATAAAATATATATCATAACACTGATGACAGTGTCACATTTCTATCATCAAAAAATATATATCATGACACTGACGATGATGTCGTATTTCTGTCATTATGACACATACCTGAGACTATTATAGTCTAATCTAAGTCATTTTTTGTTTATATAAACAAAAAATGACTATATTTAATTAATTAAGATCTTCTTATTTACATTTTGCATTACATTATTATTTATATTATTATTTATATTATTATTTGTATCATATTTATATTATTATTTACAAATAATATATAAATCATTTATTTAGGTTACACTAGATAATCTATATTTATATTGGATCACAAGATTAGTGACCAAGCGAGCAAACAAGCAAGCAAATAAGCAAACAAGCAAGCAAATAAGTGAGCAAATAAGTGAGCAAGCAAATAAGCAAGCAAGTAAGCAAACAAATAAACAAGCAAGCAATTTTCTTGTAAATATTATTGGTAGTTTTGATTTAATAATTTTGTATAAAAGAAGCATGTATTTTAGCTTAGAAAAATCAGTCAATAATTTAATAACTCAGTTAATAAGTTAATAATTTAATAACTCAATTAATAAGTCAATTAGTTAATTAGTTAAGTTCTAAATATTATTGACTCAAAAATAAACTTCTTTGGTAATAATGTCCTTTTGAAAATAATACATTTATTATGTTAAATATTCCTTTTATTATTTCATTATTTAAGTTTTAAAGTTTTATTTTAGTTTTATTATAATCTCTCACATTCTTGTGATGTTATGTTTATAATCTCTTACACATTGTAATGTTATATTGATGATCTTTTACATGTTTGTAATATCATATTTATAGTTTGGACCTCTCACATGTTGTGATATCATATTGTTAGAATGATTTAATAAATTGAATTTATAATATTTTACTTATCTATAAATCATTGTCATAATTATCAAATACACATTAATTTATAAGAAGATTTCTTAAGTCACTTTTTAGCTAACTAGTAATTTATTGAATACATGTCACCAATCTTTAGTTATTTATCTTATCTCTTTCACCTGACTTGAAACACGTATTGAGCACATAAGAAGATATAATATATTTGAAATCCAAGTAAAATGGTGACAATATTAAATTGGCAAAAAGAATAACTAAGTTTTAAAAATGATGGAATATCCTATTTAGTATAGTGCACTTGCATTAAACAATTTTCACCACAATCACTAATAAAATCTTTGAACCAAATGAGATGGAATTACCAGATAAAATTGATCCAGAAGAATATGAAGATAAAGACCTAATTGATCAATCTCTTTATATTATCAATGAAAAACTAAATGATCAACTCATCCTGCAAATAAAAATTCAAGAAGAATCAGTAAAAATAAACAATAAAACAATCGATCAAATTGAAGTTAAAAGAATTCGTCAAGAATACTTAGAAGATTATCATGAATGCAAACATGATCAACAAGATTTTAATTATTAGCAATTTACTAAAAAATAGCAAATTCATAATTAATTAGAAATTTGTTCACAATTGTCATTGAATGCAACAACCATCTCAATTAATTCAGATATAAATTTAGTATAACAAAAACAACTTAATCAACTCTTGGCTAAATATGATGATCATTTTACTAATGAATCTGGTTATACTAATATAATATTATTACAATTATTTTCAATACTTCCATAATTAATGAAACTTTTAAAAATAATAGAAAATATGAAAATCTTCAAAAATAGTAATAAAAACAACAAATCGATAAAAATAGTATATAC